CTGCATAGAGTGAAACTCCACCATGGTAGGCAAAGAACTGCCAGGGAACATGAGCTGATTGGTTCCCAGGGCTCACACAGGGCTGGGGGATGTTTGAGTTTCAACCAGCCAATGTGAAGAGACCTATTGAATGTCCAAAGAAATCAGTAGAAACTCCAGAAGGGTTATGCATTAGTAGAAGGGCTAAATTAGCCCTGAAGTAAAAGCAATTCTAGACCCCCAAGCCTCATATAGAACGAGTTTATCCACTATTATGATAACTGCTGAGCAAAACAAATTTCATCATTTTTTTAAGGACAACAACAAAATAAAGACATTAAACAACATAAATTTCAGAAGGTCAAGAGTCACTAGATATGTAAAGAATAGAGAACTGTAACCAGAAAAATCAATCAATAGAAACAAACCCAGAAATGACAGAGGTAATGGAATTGGCAGGCAAAGACTTAAAAAAGAATTAGAAATAAACCCAAAGATTTAAAGGAAAATAGGAACATGGGGAGGAAGGAAATGGAAGATATAAAAAGGAACCAAGGGCTTCCCTGGTGGCGCAGTGGTTAAGAATCTGCCTGCCAATGCAGGGGACACAAGAGAAGCCACCGCAGTGAGAAGCCCGCACAACCCAATGAAGTGTAGCCCTCGCTCACCGCAACTAGAGAAAGCCTGTGCACAGCAACGGAGACCCAATGCAGCCAAAAATAAATAAATAAATAAATTTTTTAAAAAAAGGAACCAAATCAAACTTCCAGAGTTTAAGAATACAATACCTGAAATGAAAAATTCACTGACTGAGCTTAACAGCTGATTGGACACTGTAGAAGAAAGTACCTGTGACATTGAAGACATAGCAGTATCCAAACTAAAGAGAAAAAGGCTAATGGAATAAAACAAAACAAAAAACACCATAGCTGTATCCTAAACTCTGCATTCCTGAGACCTTCAGTTAAAGATAGCAATTTACAGCAGATGTCATTGGGGCAGGACTAACTGTCAACCCCTTTACAATGATAGTGAAATAATTTTTTTAATTAATTAATTAATTTTTATTTTTGGCTGTGTTGGGTCTTCATTGCTGTGCGTGGGCTTATTAGGGTGGTTTCTCTTGTCGCGGAGCACAGGCTCTAGGTGCGTGGGCTTCGGTAGTTGTGGCATGCGGGCTCAGTAGTTGTGGCTCGTGGGCTCTAGAGTACAGGCTCAGTACTTGTGGCGCATGGGCTTAGTTGCTCCGTGGCATGTGGGATCTTTCTGGACCAGAGCTCAAACCCATGTCCCCTGCATTGGCAGGTGGATTCTTAATCACTACACCACCAGGGAAGTCCCTGAAATAATTTTATATTGGTTGGTAAATGCTTCCTACCCTGAACCCACCTCTACCCCCACCATGCTCCAGTCAACCTAGGCCTTTCCCTGGCTGCCTCTGACTTTCTCATTCAACATCTAAAGGGTAGTGCCCCCAGCAGAGAAGGAGGCCTTCAAGACCCTGTTCCAGCAGAGGCAGGACTATTCTGGTTGGTTAGTCGTTAATTATGTCGAGTGTCATCCCTGAGTGGGGTGTAGGTTAGGATTGTGAGAGCCTTGCCTGGGACTTCACATCACCTCTCTGAGTAGAATAGTCTCAACCAGAGGACCCTGGGCAAATTCATTTAAATAATTTAGATTTTAAAAATTCTTATTGAGCTCTGTGTTGCAGGAATGTGGGTGGGACAGGAGGAGGCGTCCCCCTTGTGGCAAGCCACTGCAGCACCTCTTCCATCTTCATATTCCTCTCTCCTCATCTGAAAGAGAGTTACAAATCCCTAGGGTTGTGACAGTCTGTACGGGAGACTCTTTCCTCACTACCCATCCATTCATCTGTGGGTCCAACAAATAATGCTTAATGCTACTGCTATGTACTAGACTCTGGGTGAAGTGTTAAGATGAGTGCAGAGGGGGTCAGAAATAGCACTTTTCCCAACCAGGTCATTGTGGAAGTCACTATGCATGGTGAGGGACAGAGTTGGGTGGATACACTCTCCTCCTTGCAAACCAGCACCTTCCCTGTGTCTGGGGTTGAGCTGTGTCTCTCAGCAGAGGTGAAGCCAGTCAGGACTATCACAGTGAGAGTTAAGTCAATACTGAAGGAGCGCTTGGCATCTGAATGCATCCCCTGATCCGGGGACGGGTACTAAGCATTGCTCCTGATGTCCCTGAACTAGCAGAGCATCTGCTCTCGGGCCTGTCCCTGGCTTTGGCTCAGAGGCTGGAGGCTTGGCCGGCCAGCTCCCTCTGAAGGGCTTGTGTCCTGGGGCTCCTCGCCGACTTCAAACCCACCCTCTGGCCCCTGGAGGCTTTCTGGGCTGACTGCTGGCCCGCATCTACCACCCCACAGGCAGCTTGGGAGTGCAGTTCTGGGAAGGACGGGATGACTGGGGTAGTGTTTTGTGAATGACGACCTCTGACGTTCACCTAGCACTTTACAAAGCTTCTTCACTCCTCACATCGTTTGGCTTTCACAAAATTCCTCATTAACACCCTTTCTGTAAACAGATGAGGCTTTGTGTCTTTATCCAGATGGAATGCAGGCAGATTGTGAACCTTTATCCAGATCACCCGGCCTGTGAGTGACATCAGGACCGAAACTTTTACCTTTGATGCTCTGTCCAGCGCACTTCTCATGACACCAGCTATGGCCCGTGGGGGCATCCGAGCCAGAGAGAGGCCTCCTACTTCAGGGGAAGCCTGGTTCCCACCCTTGGTTACCATCCCCGTCCTGTGACCAACCAGCCCGTGGGACACACTCAATAGATATTAGCCATATAAGCTGCTTATACATCTTGTAGCCAGAATCTCAGACCACTCCCACCCACCCCCATCCCCACCTTAAAAGGGGCCTGTTTTGGGGGACGAATACTTTGATAAATCGATTGTGGGAGAACTTACAAGGGTCTGCTTGAGTAACGATGGTTGCTTTCTAAGGAGGGTGGATTCAATTAACATGAAGTCAGTGTTTTCCAAATATTTTGTACGGCAAATCACAGTAACCCATACATTTTCATTGTGAACCAGAATACGTATGTACATATATATCATATATTTAACAAAGGTTTGACAGAACAACACTTAAACTTACTACCTGTAATGAACTCTGGGTTTTCTATTCCATTTGGTTTCATGGCCCACACTTTGAAAAACCCTGCTCTAGGGGCTCTGCTGAGTGGCTACCTGGCTGGCAGCTGGAGTTGAGTGCTCAGGACCACAAAGTTGTAAGAACTCCTACAACTAAACAACAAAAACAACCTGATTTTTAAAATGGGCAAAAGGCCTGAATAGACATTTCTCCAAAGAAAATGTGTAAATGCCCAATAAGCATGTGAAAAGATATTCAACATCACTAATCGTTAGGAAAATGCAAATCAAAACTATAATGAGTACCACCTCACACCCATTAGGAAAGGTGTTATCAAAAAACCAGAAAATAACAAAAATTGGTGAGGATGTGAAGAAACTGGAACCCTTGTTGCATTGCTGGTGAGATTATAAGATGGTGCAGCCACTGGGGAAAATGGTGTGGCAGTTTGTTCAAAAAAGGAAACAGCATTGCCATGTGATCCAGCAATTCCACTTATAGGTAAGTACCCCGAAGAATTGAAAGCAGAGACTTGAACAGACATTTGTACACCCACATTCAGAGGAATGTTATTCACAATAGCCAAAAGGTGGAAGCAACCCAGATGTCCATTGATGACTGAACAAAATGTGATATGTACATACAATGGAATGTTTTTCAGCCTTATAAAGGAAGGAGATTCTGACAAGTGCTATGACATGGATGAATCTTGAAGACATTATGCTAAGCGAAATAAGTCAGTCACAAAGGACAAATATTAAATGATTCCACCTCTATGAGGTTCCTAGAATAATCAAATTCATAGACACAAAGTAGCATGGTGGTTGCCAGGGACTAGGGAGAGGAGGGAATGGGGGTTAGTGTTTGATGGGTACGAAGTTCTGGAGATGATTGGTGATGTCTGTTGCACAACCATGTGAATATATTTAATGCCACTGAACATTACTTAGTGGTTAAAATGATAAAAACTTACGTATATTGTACCACAATAAGACGAAGAAAAAAGATAAATGGATTTTACTTTTTAAATGGGATTTCCGGCTTCTCTAAAATATCAGATCTTGTGCCCAAGTCCCCATTTCCAAAAGGCAGCAGAAGCCTGGGCCCTTTAGGCAGGGATGAAACAGAAGGGCCTTTTTTTTTGCAGGTGGGGGGAACCACCACTGAAAACCTTTAGCTATGCAACTTTGTGGCAAATTGCTCTTGGGGGACACTTGATTCCTTTGAAGTAACCTTCCTGCAGATGTTTGAAAAGGAGAAATCAAGTTGTGAATTCTTTTTTTTATATACAAATTTGTTTATTTTATTTATTTATTTTTGGCTGCGTTGGGTGTTTGTTGCTGCGCGCGGCCTTTCTCTAATTGTGGCGAGCTGGGGCTACTCTTCATTGCAGTGCGCCGGCTTCTCATTGCAGTGGCCTCTTGTTGCGGAGCGCAGGCTCTGGGCACGCGGGCTTCAGTAGTTGCGGCACACAGGCTCAGTAATTGTGGCTCGCGGGCTCTAGAGCGCAAGCTCAGTAGTTGTGGTGCACGGGCTTAGTTGCTCCGCGGCATGTGGGATCTTCCTGGACCAGGGATCAAACCCATGTCCCCTGCATTGGCAGGTGGATTCTTAACTACTGCGCCACCAGGGAAGCCCTAAATTGTGAATTCTTAATGTAAATTATTTGGGGAGAAATGTTTCTGACCCTGCCTGGTTCTCTCCTTTATATTACCTGCCTGGCTGTAGTGGGCATTAGCTTTCTCCAGCCCCAACCAAAGCCTGCTTTGCCACTGGGATGGAGTTCTTGGATTAAAACTGTATGTGGCCCCTTAGTTATCAGCAGTTGAAGCAGAGATAAAGCTTTGTGGACACTTCTCTGATTTCCGCTCTGGGTGTCTCCTTTTACTTTCAGACCAAATGAACTCTCTGGCTGCTGCTTTGTCTCCCCACAGCTGGCTCCAGAGGGAGCAGGGTGCATCACACCCGCTTTCCCACATCTTCACGCTGAGCTGAGCTGCTCAGCCCTGTGGGTGGAGCTGCAGCAGGTGCTGCCAGGGCCAGTCCCTGAGTCATCAAACCTGCCGGCTCTTGTACCACATCTCCTTCCATCTCGTGTTCATGTCCAAGCCCTCATCCATGCAGTCTCGACCCGGCATTTACTTACAGCCAGGCTCTCCTGCCTCCACCATCACCAGGCTAATCTTTCTAAACCCAGGTATGGCCAAGTTACATCCCTACTGAGAAGCCTTTGATAGGGCTCCTTAGCCTAATGTCCCAGCTCTCAGTCTGACATTTCAAACCTTCCCCAGTTGAACTCCGTCTTTCTAGACATCACTCACTCCCACCGCCACTGCAGGCCTGTCTGCTGCCACACCAATCTGTTCTCTGCACTCAGACCTCCTACACATTCCCAGCACGGTGTCTCTGCCCACAGTGTTCTCCCTGTCTAGACAATCTCACTCTCTCTTCCTGCTTCTCAGAATTGTTTGTTCTTCAGTGCCCATCTGTACTTCTCCCTCCCAGCTTGACCCCTTGCTCAGAGGACGACTCCTTCAGCTGAAGCCTGTGGCCACACAGCCTGTGTGCTCTCCTGGCTTTTATCCCATCCCATGTTGGGTGCAGGTACCTTTCCATATTTCTGAACCAAAGTCCTCTCTGGAAACCCCAAGGCATTGCTTCGAGTCAGGTATCCATCACAGCTTGATCGATTCTTGCCTATTTGGATAAATCCTCCTTCATGAATACTGTCTACTGGCTAACCTTTTCCAGGTGACCTGCCTCCAGTTAAAACATGTGTGGTCACTAATGGTGTGTCCCAAACCACCCACTACATGGTCTACCTGGTTGCAGAGCAGTTCATTATAAAAGAGCCCCATGGTGAGCTGGGGAGGGGCTTTTAGGGATTGGATCCCTTCATTTGCTTAGCTTTCTTGGAACTGCTGATTCCTAACAGATCACACTGTAGTGTGATTTCCTGTTTACCTGTACATCTCCCTTATGACGTCGTAGGCTTGGGAGGTGGGCTGGTGTCTGCTTGTTCTCTGTCTCCAGTGCCTACACAGTGCCTGGCACATGGTAGATGTTCAACAAATATTTCTTGAAAGACAGAAAAGGGAATGCCCCCTTCCCACGTATTTATTTATTTATTTATAAATTATTTATTTATTTGGTTGCGGCAGGTGCGCTCCTTAGTTGTGATTCTCAGGCTCCTTATTTGTGGCATGTGTGCTCCTTAGTTGTGGCATGTGTGTTCCTTAGTTGAGGCCGGTGGGCTCCTTAGTTGTGGCTCATGGGCTCGTTAGTTGCAGCTTGCTGGCTCCTTAGTTGTGGCACGTGGGCTCCTTAGTTGCAGTAGGTGGGCTACTTAGTTGCGGCTCGCCGGCTCCTTAGTTGTGGCATGAGAACTCTTAGTTGCGGCGTGCATGTGGGATCTAGTTCCCTGACCAGGGATCAAACCCCAGCCTCCTGCATTGGGAGCATGGAGTCTTAACCACTGCTCCATCAGGGAAGTCCCCCTTCCCACATGTTTAGAATTTAAATTTAGTATTCTAAATTTCCTCGCCCACTTCCTGGGCCCTGCAAGTTGCCCCATGCTCCAAGCCCTGGAAAGCCCCTTCCCTTCCTCACGCTGTAATCTCTAAGTGTCTGGAGGCCTTGGTTTGGTGCTGCTTCTCTTTCAGCCAGGGTTACGGAGCCCACACCCAGACACATCCACCCTCAGACTTACTTACAAATCCCAGCTAGAATGAGGAACAGTTGCTTCAGGGTCTGGGCAGGGCTTCAGGGTGACAGACACATTTTGCCCACCAAGCATGCCTGCCACCCCTTCCTCCCTCTAATGGTGATGAGGATTCCCCAAGTTGCACACCGGATCACACAGCTGAGGCCGGGGAAGAGAGATTTCCAAGCCCACACTTCCTCTAAGAATGCCTCTTATGCCTACAAATACAAAATCATCAGTTTTGAAATGTCTTCTTCCCTAAGGTCATAAGAAGGGGTTTCTGGGGATGCTGGCAATGTCCTGCTGCTTGACCCGGGTGCTGGTTACAGGATATTTGCCTCATAATAATTCATTAAGCCATACACTTTTCTGAATGTGTGTTACATTTCACAGTAAAAAAGAAAGTACCCCCCCCCCCGACACCCGCCCCAGCCTCAGGGCCTTAATCCAATCAATTCGTGTTTAACCAGTGCCTGTCTGCATCCAGCCCCTGCTAGAGAAAGAGATTCTTGTCCTCAAGGAATTTCCTGGAGGAAGGAAGGTAACTAGAGCATCAGAAGACTCCGAATCCAGCTCTGAATTATATCTGGAAAATAGGCCATGCTGTCATTTTGAGGAGGAGTTCAGAGGTCAAGGAGGTAGTGGGGCTCAAACTGGGCTGAAGATGTAGGTGGGATTTAGGTAAGTGGAGAGAAGCAGAGGAAGGCATTGTAGCTGAGAGAACTGTATGATCAAGAGCTGTTAGGTAAGACTGAGCCTGATGTGTCTGGGGGGCAATGAAGAAACCCTAGTACTGAATAGTTGTTTTTGTTTTTTTTTTTTTTTGCAGTACGCGGGCCTCTCACTGTTGTGGCCTCTCCCGTTGCGAAGCACAGGCTCCGGACACGCAGGCTCAGCGGCCATGGCTCATGGGCCCAGCCACTCAGCGGCATGTGGGATCTTCCCGGACTGGGGCACGAACCTGTGTCCCCTGCATCGGCAGGCGGACTCTCAACCACTGCGCCACCAGGGAAGCCCAGTACTGAATAGTTTATGGGAGTAAGGCTGTCTTGGAGAGCTCTAGATCTGCCCCCATCCCCAAACATGGGCAGGGTGGACGCCACTTACAGTGCAAGCCTGCCTTATCTGAATGGAGAATCCTGTGCCCTTGTGCAAGAGCCGACATGTGTGTTTCACATTTCTTAGTTGGGCACCCGAGTTCATGCAGAGACACTTACTTGTTCAATTCCTGACTTTTAGCCCTGCCCCACCCTGCAGCTGCCTTCAAGTCCCAGCACTGATAGACTGAGTAGAAGTGGGAGTCAGAGGAAGTATGAGAACTCAGGACTGCAGATTCAGAGACTGTGACAGGCTGTGGGATGACTCTACCCCAGCCTCAGCCCAAGAGCCCTGGAATTCCAGGACTTTACCTACCATCACCAAGGATATGGCTGGCCACCTGAGACCATGGGGGAATGTGCCGTGAAGTGCCGGGAGGTTCCCAAACTCCATGCAGGGCTACTAATTTTAATATAAGGAAGCAAGACTAGGATGTGTTTCTACTTATTTTAGGGAGTGGAAATCAAATCAGTCATAAGTACTCTGTACACACAAAGGGTGACTGTGATGAGGCTTAAAGCGGAGGAGAAGAGCTAGTAATAATATAGTACCAGTGATGCTGATAATGACCGTAACTACCAAGCGTGAAGATTAGCTTTGTGCTTAGCAGTATATGCTGAACATTCACTTCTTTCATTTAAGCCTCTCAATAATCCTATGATGTGCACGCTATTATTATTTCCATTTTACGGATGGAGAAACTGAGGCTTCAAGGCATGAGCTGCTTTCCCAAAGTCATACAAATGTTAAGTGCAGAAGTAGGATCTGAATTCCAGCAGTCTTACTCCAGCAACCATACTGTGGAAGCCGGCGATGCCTCCTTAAGCCCTGTCTGGGCTTGGAGAGGATGTCCTCCCTGATGGACCAGAGCGTGCCAGCCCCTGTGGCTGGTGTGGCATTCTGAAAGACTGTCTGGCAAGTTTTGCTTGCTCTGGTTTCTCACTAAAACAACCTTTGGATTTGGCTTCCCAGGCGACTCACATACAGGAAAAGAGGGCCATGACCTGCCAACATGACAGCTGTATTTTTCACTAGTAACTTAATAAACTGGCTGCCTGGGTTCACATACGTACCTGTTTCTGACAGCTTGGTTAAGGTGAGCCCACCCCAGAGCTGAGGCCATGTGCCAACTTAATTGAGATTCTGGGCATGCAAGCGTAGCCCCCAGCTGAGGCCTCTGTGCCAAGGAAATTCCTCTTGGCCTCCTTTTGGCTGGTTTGGCCCGCCTTCCCCAGTGACAGTCTGGCTCTTTGGATTCAAGCTGCCTGGTCAAACTGTGAGGGTCTGCAGAAAGAAGGAAGCAACAGTGCCAGGTTCCAGTGCGTGTTCCAAGTTCCACATTCTGCCTACAGACGCCCGGTGCCAGAGCAAAGGCTGGCCCTTGGCAGTGGACTGGTAAGGATTTGTCTGGTACATTTTTTCCTTTACACACTTAACCTGGGACTTCCTGCATCTCTTACTCTCTCTGCTTTCATTCATGGTGGCTTCCAAAGCTGGTGATTAGCAGGGTTACCCAGAGAGCCCTTTTTAAAAAATATTTAATGGACTTGTCTTATTTAGGAGCAGAGAATGTTTTGCTCTGTTTACAAAAGTGCAGTTTAAGAAAAATTACATCCTAAAATAGTGGGGAATGGGTGGGCTAAATCATTTTCTTTTTAACTTCCAATGACAGTTTGTAAGGTTGAACCCGAAGTCTTGGTCTTTGTCAGAAACACGGGGTTGTTTTTCCACCAAGCTTGGTGAATGGTGCATCTTTCTGGGACAGCATTCTTTTTTTTTCTTTTTTTTTGCAGTACGCGGGCCTCTCACTGTTGTGGCCTCTCCCGTTGCGGAGCACAGGCTCCGGACGTGCAGGCTCAGCGGCCATGGCTCACGGGCCTAGCCGCTGCGCGGCATGTGGGATCTTCCCGGACCGGGGCAGGAACCCGTGTTCCCTGCATCGGCAGGCGGACTCTCAACCACTGCGCCACCAGGGAAGCCCCCCCCCTTTTTTTTTAATTGTAAAAGACACATAACATGAAATCTACCCTCTTAACAAAATTTTAAGTGTACAGAACAGTGTTAACTATATGCACATTGCTGTACAGCAGATCTCTTTTTCACCTTGCATGATTGAAACTTTATACCCATTAAACACAACTTTCTAATTCCCCTCCACCTGGCCCCTGGCAACCATCATTCTACTTTCTGCTCCTGTGAATTTGACTACTTCAGATCCCTCATTTAAGTGTAATCATGCAGTATTTTTCCTGTGACTGGCTTATTTCACTTAGCATAATAATGTCCTCAAGGTTCATCCATTATGTAGCATATGACAGGATTTCCTTGTCATATTTAAGGCAAAATAATATTTCATTCAATGTATATACAACATTTTCTTTATACATTCAATCATCAGTAGGCATTTAGGTTGTTTCCACCTCTTGGTTATTGTGAATAAAGCTCCAATGAACATGGGAATGCAAGTATCTCTTTGAGATCCTGTTTTCAGTTCTTTTGCATGAATATCCAGAAGTGAGATTGTTGGATCATACGGGAGTCTTTAATCCATTTTGAGTTGATTTCTGTATATGATGTAAGATGAGGGTCCAATTTCATTCTTTTGCGTGAGATATTTAGTTTTCCTAGTACTATTTGTTGAAGAGACTATTCCCATTGTGTAGTCTTGGCACCCTTGTTTGAAGATTATTTTACTGTATTTGTGTGGGTTTATTTCTAGGATCTCTATTCTGTTATATTGGTCTATCTGTCTGCTAGTACTATGCTGTTTCGATTACTGTAGGCTTGTAATATATTTTGAAGTTAGGAGTGTGAAGCCTCCAGCTTTGTTCTCTTTCAAGATTGTTTTTGCTATTCAGGGTTCCTTGTGGTTTCACATGAATTTTAGGATTGTTTTTTCTATTTCTTAAAAAAATGCCGTTGAGACTTCGATAGGAATAGCACTGAATTTGTAGATCACTTTGAGTAGTATGAACAGTATTAAGTCTTCTAATCCATGAGCATGGGATGTCTTTCCATTTATTTGTGTCTTTAAATTCTTTCAGCAGTGATTTGTAGTTTTTAGTGTTCAACTATTTAGCTTCCTTGGTTAAATTTATTCCTAGTGTTTTGTTCTTTTTGATGATATTGTAAATGGAATTGTTTTCTTAATTTTCCTTTTGGATTATTCATTTTTATTGTATAGAAACAATTGCTTTTTATATGTTGATTTTGTATCTCTCCAATTTTGATGTCTTTTTTGTGTTTCTCATGTCTAACTGCTGTAGCTAGGACTTCCAATGTTATGTTGAATAAAAGTGGCAAGAGTGGACATCCTTGCCTTCTTTATTCCTGATGTTAGAAGAAAAGCTTTCAGTTTTTCACTGTTGTGTATGAATGATGTTAGCTGTGCACTTTTCATATATGATCTGCATTATATAGAGGTAATTTCCTTCTATTCCTAGTTCGTTGAGTGTTTTTTTTAATCATGAAAGGATGTTTAATTTTGTCAAATGCCTTTTCTGCATCTACTGAGATGATCATGTGATTTTATCTTTCTTTCTGTTAATGTGGTGTATCGCATTGATTGATTTTTGTATGTTGAACCATCCTTGCATTCCAGGGATAAATCCCACTTGGTCATGGTGTATAATTCTTTTAATGTGCTATTGAATTCGGTTTGCTAATATTTTGTTGAGATTTTTGCATCTGTGTTCATCAGGGATATTGGCTTGCAGTTTTCTTTTCTTGTAGTGTCTTTCTGGCTTTGGTAGCAGGATAATGCTGACCTCTTAAAATGAATTTGAAAGGGTTCCCTCCTCTTCAGTTTTCTGGAAGAGTTCTCAGGAGTTGGCAATAATTTTAAAAAAAATTTTTGTAGAGGGCTTCCCTGGTGGCACAGTGCTTGAGAGTCCGCCTGCCGATGCAGGGGACACGGGTTCGTGCCCCGGTCCGGGAAGATCCCACGTGCCGCAGAGCGGCTGGGCCCGTGAGCCATGGCCGCTGAGCCTGCACATCCAGAGCCTGTGCTCTGGAACGGGAGAGGCCACAACAGTGAGAGGCCCGTGTACCGCAAAAAAAAAAAAAAAAAAAGTATTTTTAGTATTCTTCTTTTTTGCGGCTATCTGGTCTTGGGCTTTTTTTTTTTTTTTTTTGGTTGGGAGGTTTTGATTACTGGTTCAATCTCCTTACTAGTTATAGATATGTTCAGATTTTCTATTTCTGCATGGTTCAGCCTTGGTAGGTAGTATGTTTCTAGGAATTTATCCATTTCTTTTAGGTTTTCCAATTTGTTGGTGTATGGTTGTTCAGAGTAGTCTCTTACAATGCTTTTTATTTCTGTGGCATCAGTATAATGATTTTATATATTTGAGTCTTCTTTTTTTCTTAGTCTAGCTAAAGGTTGTCGGTTTTATCTTTTCAAAAGCTAACTCTTAGTTTCATTGATTCTTTTCCATTTTTCTATTTCATTTATTTCTGCCCTAATTTTTATTATTTCCTTCCTTCTGCTAATTTTGGGCTTAGTTTTTCTTTTCCTAGTTCCTTAATGTATAAAGTTAAGTTGCATATTTGAAATCTTTCTTTTTAGACGTAGGCTTTTACAGCTATAAACTTTTCTTAGTACCCCTTTTGCTGCGTCCCAAGTTTTGGTATGTGTATTTCATTTTTGTTTGTCTCAAGATATTTTCTAATTTCCCTTTAGATATCTTCTTTGGTCCATTGGTTGTTCAAGAGAGTGTTGTTTAATTTCTACATATTTGTGTTTTCCATTTTTCCTTCTGCTACTGATTTCTAGCTTAATTCCATTGTGGTTAGAAAAGATACTTGGTATGATTTCAGTCTTCTTAAGTTTGTTAAGGCTTTGTTTGTGACCTAACATGTAATCCATGCTGGAGAGTGTTAAAACTGTGCTTGAAAAAAATGTGTGTTTTGCTGCTGCTGGTGGAATATTTTGCTGTGTCGTCTGTTAGGTCTATTTGATCTATATCATTGTTAAAGTCCTGTGTTTCCTTATTGATCTTCTCTCTGGATAGTTTATTCATTATTGGAGGTGAGATATTGACATCTCTTAATATTACTGTGTTCCTGACTATTACTCCCTTCAGTTCTGTTAATGTTTACTTTATATATTTGGGTACTCTGATGTTGGGTGCATATATATCTATAGTTACTATATCTTCTTAGTGAATTGACCTTTTTATCATTATAAAATGTCCTTCTTTTACTCTTATGACAGTTTTTGACTTAAAATATATTTTATGTGATATAAGTATGGCCACTCCTGCTCTCTTTTGGTTACCATTAGCACAGAGTATCTTTCTCCATCCTTTCACTTTCAGCCTATGTGTGTTCTTAAACCTAAAGTGAGTCTCCTGTAGACAGCATATAATTGGATCTTGTTTTGTTTTTAATTTATTCAGCCACTCTATAGCTTTTGATTAGGGAGTTTAATTTACATTTAAAATAGTTACTTATAAAGAAGGATGTGCTGTTGTCATTTTGTTCATTGTTTTCTGTCTGCTTTGTAGCTTTTTTTGCCCCTCTCTTGATGTCTTTGTGTTTCACTGATTTGTTTTAGTGACATGATTTGATTCCTTTCTCATTTTTGTTTGTGAATCTGGGTGTCTGTTTCCTTCCTCAGACTTGGGGAGTTTGGAGCCATTATTTCGTCAAATAAGATTTCTGCTCCTTTCTTTCTGTCTCTTCACCTTCTGGGGCTCCTATATTACATATATTAATCCACTTGATGGTGTTCCATATGTCTCTTAGGCTTTCTTCACTTTAAAAAGTTTGCTTCTCCAACAATAATAGATAATTTCAAATGGCCTGTCCTCGAGTTTGCTGTTTATTTCTTCTCCATAATCAAGTCTGTTGTTGAACACCTCTAGTGAATTTTTCGATTCAGTTATTGTATTCTTTAGCTCCAAATTTTCTGTTTGGTTCTTTTTAATATTTTCCATCTCTTTATTGCTAGTCTTATTTTTTTCATATATCATTTTCCTGGGCTCGTTAAGCACCCCAGTGAGTCTTTTTTTTTTCTTTTCTATTATGGTTTATTACAGGATATTGAATATAGTTTCCTGCACTATACAATAGGACTGTGTTGTTTATCCATTCTATATATAATAGTTTGCATCTGCTAGTCCCAAACTCCCAATCCAACCCTCCCCCGCACTCCCTACCCCTTGGCAGCACAAGACTGTTCTCTATGTCTGAGTCTGTTTCTTTTTTGTAGATAAGTTCATTTGTGTCATATTTTATTCCACATATAAGTGATATCGTATGGCATTTGTCTTTCTCTTTCTGACTTACTTCGTTTAGTGCAGTAATCTCTAAGTCCATCCATGTAGCTGCAAATGGCATTATTTCATTCTTTTTGTGACCAAGTAATATTCCATTGTATATATATACCGCATCTTCTTTATCCATTCATCTGTCAATGGACATTTAGGTTGTTTCCATGTCTTGGCTATTGTAAATAGTGCTGCTATGAACATAGGGGTGCGTGTATCTTTTCAAATTATAGTTTTGTTTGGATATATGCCCAGGAGTGGGGTTGCTGAATCATGTGGCAACTCTATTTTTAACGTTGCCAGCTATTTTTTTTTTTTTTTTTTGCGGTACCTGGGCCTCTCACTGTTGTGGCCTCTCCCATTGCGGAGCACAGGCTCCGGACGCGCAGGCTCAGTGGCCATGGCTCATGGGCCCAGCCACAGGCTCGGGACGCCCAGCTCAGTGGCATGTGGGATCTTCCCGGACCAGGGCACGAACCCGTGTCCCCTGCATCGGCAGGCGGACTCTCAACAACTGCGCCACCAGGGAAGCCCTATTTTTAATTTTTTGAGGAACCTCCATACTGTTCTCCATAGTGAGTACACCAATTTACATTCCCACCAACAGTATAAGAGGGTCCAGGGAGTCTTTTTAAGATGTGGATTCCTAGACCCTACTGGCAGAAATACTAATTCAGTAGTCTGGAGTGGGGCCTGGAAAGCTGTATTTCTGAAAGGTCCCCTGGTGATTCATATGTACATCTAGGTTTGGAAACCACTTCCAGTTAAAAGACTACCTTCAACCCCTCCCACCTTGCAGTTCTCTCCAGGATGCCACCATCTGCCTATGGGTTTTCTGTCTCTTTGAATCAGTTGAGGCTCTAAAAATCTTTTTGCTTCAAGGCAACCTTCCTGGATTTTGCTTCAAGGCAACCTTCCTGTTTAACCACAAGTTTCTTATGACTCTCCCCAGCCCTCTCCAACCCAAAATGTGCCTACATTTTCCATTTTTGTATTAATTTGGCATTTCCATTCTCTCCACTTGCTATCTGTGATTGAGCCATTGCTGACTAGAAGTCTTCCTGGGGTCTGCCCTAATCATCTCATTATTATTTGATGACAAAAAGGTGGTGAGTGTAGTAGAAATGGAACTCTGGGAACCCAGGTTTGGGTCTCTGTTCTACTAGGGTATGACCTTGGACAGGTTGCTTTCCCTCTCTGGGCTTCAGTTTCCTCCAAGTGATTCATGAATAGATGGTCTCCATGATCCTTCCCTTTGGACTCTGACTATATCCTTCCTCCCCTCATGCATTCCACAGCTCAGAACGTGGAACTCTGGAGACACTCCTGAAACTCTGCCCTAAGTCAAAGGAACCAGAGAGTCCACCAGTTCTCCCTCCACCTCCCTTTCCAGGAGCAGCCACGGCCCTGAGTGATGTCAATGTGCAGAAGCAGATTAAGCAGGTGATGGCTTTCATTGAGCAGGAAGCCAGTGAGAAGGCCGAAGAAGTAGACGCCAAGGCTGAGGAAGAGTTCAACATTGAGAGAGGACGCCTTGTGCAAACCCAATGACTGAAGATTATGGCGTATTATGAGAAGAAAGAGAAGCAGATAGAGCAGCAGAAGAAAAGCCAGATGTCTACCATGAGGAATCAGGCAAGGCTGAAAGTCCTGAGGGCCCGAAACGACCTCATCTCAGAGTTGCTGAATGATGCAAAGCTGAGACTCAGCAGGATCGTGGCAGACCCAGTATTTCACCAGGGGCTGCTGGATAAACTAGTGCTCCAGGGTCTGCTCCGACTGCTGGAGCCTGTGGTGATTGTACGCTGCAGGCCACAGGACCTCCTCCTGGTGGAGGCTGCAGTGCAAAAAGCCATCCCTCAATACACGACAGTCTCCCACAAACGTGTGGAAGTCCAAGTTGACAGAGGGGTGCAACTGGCTACAGATGCGGCTGGAGGTGTGGAGTTCTACAGTGGTGATCAGAGAATAATGGTTTCCAATACTCTGGAGAGTCGACTGGATCTCTTATCCTGGCAAAAGATGCCAGAAATACGAAAGGCCTTGTTTGGAGCCAGTGCCAACAGGAAGTTCTTTATATAAGCCTCTAGGAAGTGAAGCTCATCTTGAATTTCTAAGCTATAAAAGCATGAGTTATTAGGACAAAGGAAAACAGTAATACCTCCTCCTCTTTTTTGCTCTGGTATTAGTCTGTCTTCATGAAATACCCTTTGACTAGCTAAAGGCATTACACTTTGGAATAAAGCCTGACTTAGTGCTTAGCAACCTATTTCCAATTTATCTATACATATTACAGCCTCTTGTCAGTTCTACAGTCTGTGTTGAAGGGAGTAGAGACATCTGCTCTTTAGCTCGTCCTCAAACTGAGGTGTGAATGGTATTCTTGACCTATGGGTCTGGGTGTTCTAAAGCTCTTTAATATGTATGTGAAGTTTGTTTTTCTTCTTTTGTCTCAGCTTCTTGTTCTTATGTTATTTAATAAGGTCTAGAACTCTTTTTCATGTGTAGAGGGTCAACTTCATGGGTGTATGGTCAGTGCAGTCACACAGAGCTCCATGTCAGAAGAGCCCGGCACTTGGGGTCTAATGCTTTACAGCCACTGTCTGGAAATTCTTAATTTTATATTTGCATGTGTCCTTTATAAGTGAAGTCCAGTGGGACTTTGGAGCATGTGTCAGGGACTTGGACCTTGGCTCACACGTAGTACTGATTCCCAAAGCCTACCCATCTCCCTGGGTTGGGTTCTTGACCACCCACTTCCCAGCGTCCTGGTGCTCCAAGACCCTGCCTTCCCTTCCCTCAACTAGTGCTCATTGCTGCCCTCTGCCCAGTGTGCATGCAGGGAGGGTCTGTATGCTCCGTAGAATCTTAGGGCTGGGCATAATGGTGGCCATCTCTGCTCAGCTTGGCAGCTCCATGGCACATTCAGCAGGTGACTTGGTGAGCTTGGGTCTCTCACCCACCAGATACTGGGCACATCTCAGTGTGGAGGTTTAAAGACCCTGGGGTTCACCTGTCTCCTGTGGATTGGATCAGCCAGCCTGTTGGAATGGGAGATGCCTGGCTTGGCTTTCCTGACCCCAGCCTCGGTACAACGCATAGATCTGGGGGCTGGTGGGAAGGAGGGCCCAGCAGTTGTCAAGGTTGCTGGGCCTGAGTCTCGGGGAGGGATCTTCAGCAGCTTATAAGGGTCTGCACTTGCCCTGTGAAGTATCCTGTACCTGATGGAGCTCTCCATTAGACAGCTCAGTGTCTGGGGGCGACTTGGGCTCATCTCTTGTGACCAGCTGGGTGCATCTTCTGGGAGAAGCCAAGAAATACAGTCATTGTGGTGATTCTCTATATGGGCATTGCACAATATAAAGATAAATGATAAAATTCATCCTAAGGATTTTATATTGTAATTTTTATTTACTTAGACATTAAATAGCAAATAAACACCATGACAAGCCAAAAGAGAGACTGCAGAAGAAAAGAAAAAGCTTTATAAGTATTTTAGTACGTTTAACTGTACTTTTTGAACAAAGGATTCCACAGTTTCATTTTACACTGGGCCCCATAAATTATGTAGCTGGTTCTGCATGTGTATGGTGATTTAAAGTCTAATTTATGCCTGAGCGTGATTTATGTATTAAAATAGAAGTTTTTTGAAGAAAAGAACCCCCAGGCAACTCTGCCAAGGGCAAAGGTTGGCTTCTGTGGTCAGGAATTTATAAGGAACAGAAATCCCATGAAGCTCAAACACAGAGTAGGAGGCAGGTTATTAGTAAACAGGGGTGTCTCACAGGAGCTCGGGACGGGAATCTGTCATGGTCTCAGGGGAGGGCTGGAACTGGGCATCAGAAAGCTTTCTGAAGTCCTCTAGATGGCTAGTTCATTTTCTTTTTTAAGCAGTGACTTTTTCTACTGTCCATTTTATTTTTTTATTATAATTATTTTTTAAACGTAAGGACTGATACTCTTATTTTTTTATCATTTTTTTTTTGGCTGCATTGGGTCTTTGTTGCTGCGTGTGGGCTTTCTCTAGTTGCAGCGAGTGGGGGCTACTCTTCTTTGCGGTGTGCAGGCTTCTCACTGCAGTGGCTTCTCTTAGTGTGGAGCACGGGTTCTAGGTGCACGGGCTTCAGAAGTTGCAGCACGTGGGCTCAGTAGTTGTGGCACACAGGCCCTATAGCACGTGGGCTTCAGTAGTTGTGGCATGTGGGCTCCGGAGTTGCGGCACATGGGCTTAGTTGCTCCGCAGCATGTGGGATCTTCACGGACCAGGGATTGAACCCGTGTCCCCTGCATTGGCAGGTGGATTCTTGCACCACCAGTGAAGTCCTCTACTGTCCATTTTAAATGGTGGAGTTTGCATGGTCCCCAGAGTTTACATGTTGTAGTTCCAGAAACAAATTTGCTTTTCTTGGAGTTATTTCCTCTTTTCTTAGAAGGAACCCATTTGGCTCAATTCAGATTAGATGTCCACCTACAGTCCAGTTGGTGTCTGGGGCAGTTCTTAGAGAAAAGGGGGTCTTTGTCAGCTGGACAGACTCCTTAAAGGGAGTCTTCTTTGTGGGCCCTTTTGAGTTGTGAATTGACTCATTCATTGAAAAATTTCTGAATGCCAGCAATGAGCTAGGTGCTGCGCTAGCTCCTGGGCTGCAAAGAATACCATCTGGTCCTGTCCTCTGACTAATTATAGACACATACACAGATGATAACATGGTGATGATACAACGGGGAAGTGCTTTGTTCAGCATACTGTGGAAATACAGTAGCAGGTAGAGAGAGAGGTTCACAGAATGCTCCGGGTTGTTGGCAGTTGAGCTGGGGAAAGAACTTCAGGCAGAGGTGGGGGATGGGGTGGGGAGAGCATATGCAAAGGCCCTGAGGTGTGAAAAAGCAAGTTGTGTTTGAGGACCTGTGTGTAGTTCAGTGTGATGGAGTGTGAGGGGGCGAAGGGAAGTGACATGGATGAGGCTGGAAAGATGGACAGAGCCTGATTATGTGTGCTTCCTGCCCTGCTCAGGAATTAGATGAAATCTGGTGTGTGTGTGGGGGTGGGGTGTAGGTGATGCAGGGTCATTGAAGGACTTTATTTATTTTTAAGTTTTTTGGCCGCACCTCACAGCATGCGGGATCTTAGTTCCCCAGCCAGGGATCGAACCCACACCCCCTGCACTGGAAGCACGGAGTCTTAACCACTGGACTGCCGGGGAAGTCCCTGAGAACTGGACTTTTAAAAGATTATTCCAGTGCCACTGTATGTGGAGGACACATTGGAGGGAGGGAGAGACTGCAGGCCGGAGCCCAGTTGGGGAACTGTTTATCAGCCCAGGTGGGAGATGACAGTCTCCCCAGCTTTTTGGTGAGGTAGGTCAAATTCTTTGATACACAGGCCGGAGGAGATCAGAATCAGTGACCTGTGTCCTATCTGCTGCCACCTCCCTGCCTTCCACCTCAATAAATCCTTTCACTTGTCCAGGGCTTGAGGCTTTCCATCACAGTTTCACACCATCTTACAAGCCCCCCTGGACTCCCCCTCAGAGCCCCCCCCTTTCTCTCCCAGCCATCATTCCAGGCCCAGCAAAGCATTCCCTTCCCACTTGCCTGAGCCCCCAGCCACCTCCCATTCTGGGAACTTGAACCCCACTTCAAGCTGTATAACCCAGGAGTGTCTAGCCCCCTGGTCCACCCCAGGTCCGGCCCTCTGAGCTGGGCTCAGTCCGTTATTGGGGCCCCCGACAATAATTCATGTCCCCCAAATTGACATTAATTCATCTCCCCTGCAAAATAGTTTTAATGAAAGGTTTTATGGGAAGTTGAGGAGAGCTTTACATAGTACACGTGGGACAAAATTTCCCCCAGTCGCACTTCAACACCTCTCTGTTTTCCCAAACTTGTCCCTCCACCCTCACAGTGTCCCCTCAGTGAAACAAAAGCTGGTGGTGAACCAAGCCTGCCCTCCTAGCCCCTGGCTACCAGGACCGCAGCCCCTGTTCATGAGGACTTTCCATGCATTGCCGTTATTTCCTGTCAGCTGCTTTGTCTACTCGGCCCATCTTTTTCGACACAGATCTTTGTTGGTAGGGACTGTGTCTTCATTCTTCTCTGTGGTCCCTGCTGCCTTGTTCTTTTAGTGCTGACGCTGGGTGTGCACGTCGTAGTGTCTGAACAGACATTTATGTTTGTTACATTCTTCATTCCCGGCCTGGCTCTGGTTTCTGGATGGAGGCCTTCTCTTCAACCACGGATTGTGCCATAGAAAAGGGCAATGACGTGAGGTGAGGACCAGGGCTCGGACGCCCGCCCTGTAACCCAGCGATGGCTCTTGACAAGAAAATCCCTCTCTACTGCTGCTGAGGGGAAGGCTGCAGATGGGTAGAACCTGAACTCAAGCAGGACTCACTTCAGTCAGGGCTTATTGGATCCCTTCCCTCCCTGGGAAACAGACGGGAGGGGGTTTGCTTTGGACCTGGGTGTGAAGGCAGGGGGCTGTGGATGGGCTGGGTCGTCCTTAGGGGCCTCAGCCACGCAGAGGCAAATCTTAGCCCTCACCTTTCTGTAGCTCCCAGTGCCACCCTAGACCTGTGGGGTAGGCTGCTGGTCACCATCCTGTCCCTTCTGGCAGCTGCGGTCCTGTCGGGATCTTTGCTTTAGAAATGTTTGCACTGGGCCCTTTATGTTAGTTGTCTGGTACAAACGTACACACATTCTTTATTAGCGTTAACTGTCTTACCCTCAAGAAGGCGTGTTCCTTGTGTAAGTTCCTCAGTCCCCAGGAGCCAAAAGGAGCAAACTGTTACAACCGCAGGCAGGCACAACCCTTCCCCACCGCTCTTCTCATTAACACTTCCTCCCGAGGTGCAAGGGAAGCTGTTTGCTGCTGACACAGACCCAGGCAGTGCTTATGGCGAGGCTGCTTCTGCAGGCTCACTCCCTGCCTGGGGAGGGCTGGGGGAGACTGAACATCGGGCAGTCAGGCCTTGTCCCTCACTGAGGCCAGCCCCCCTGCCCCCCGCAGGAAGGCTGTCGGCAAAGATAACTTGGTGGAGGGAGAGCGTAGATTTAATTCCGATCCTGAGCTGCCTGGAGAGCCAGAAATGGAAAGGATACTTTGAGCACGTGCTGGAACCTCAGAAAATGCTGCAGGGCTTCCTCTCTGTCCCTAGGGTCCCAAGATCCCTGGAAGGGGGTCAGCAGACCTATGCTGGGCCAACCCCAACCCGCGTGGCTCTGGGAACCAGTGCATCCCCTCACTGAACTCCCCAGGGAGATA